TTATTATTATTATTTTGGAGGAACCAGGGATTGAACTCAGGCCCTTGAACTTGCCAGGCAAGTGCTCATTCTACTGAGCTATCTCCCCAGCCCCAGGATAGGAAATTATTAACAATGAAAACAACCAAAGGGGGGGGGTACCAGGGAAATGGCTCAGTGGAATAAGCGCTTCCCTGGCAAGCTCAAGGGCCTGAGTTCAATCCCTGGTTCCACCAAAAAAAAAAAAAAAAAAAGAAAGAAAACAACCAACCTAGCATGCTATGCCTTCTGCTAAATCAACTCTTTTAGGGGCATAACTTGTTTACTTTCATGGCAATCCAATGAAGCAGAGATTACTAATACTCCATCTCATACATGAGCAAGCTGAGCTCAGCAGTCACCTACCTTGCTTAGGGTCCTGTGGACAGAACTTGACTGTGGACAGCACAAATGTGATCCTAGAGACATATTCATTCCCAGTTGACATGCTGCAGAGATTTACACTGAAGGCCAGACAGCTAAGGTGACTTTCTGCTAGCAGAAAGTAGGGGGTACCAGTGCTTTGCTTTGCTAAAGACAATCAGAGCTGCACTGTTGAGCAAGGCAGGAAGCACTCCAGCTTCCCCTGCCACAGGACTTCTTGGCATACATAAATTTAGGGTGCCCTCTGAGTGCTGGAGTCACCCAGGGTTTGTCACACCATACTCAACCCATGTACCCTGACCTCCTCCCACCAGGCAGATGATGTGGCCAAGACCTTGCTCCCAAGAGGCTCATAACCTATCCAGTACATGGGAAGGGGTATAGACCTGCAAGCCAGGGACAAACTCTATGAAATAATAATGCAGAGGAGCTTGGTTCATGGTGCTGCATCATGTAGGTGCCATCCAGATCCCAGTTTGGCCTCTTACAGATATGTGTGCCTGTGCTGTTCAGCTAATTAATCTCTGCAGCCTTCCATCTCCTTACTTGTAAAATGGGGTTGATAACATTTCCTAGCTTCTAGCAGTATAAAGACTAATGAGGAAAAATAGTATGCTTGGTCTTGACTGGTGCTGATCTTTCCCAGGGTCAAAAAAGTGACTCAACCACTCATTACATTTTCTTTATTTCCTGGGGCATCCCTAGGAGGTCACACTATTCATGGGGGTGAGGGGGGGACCAGCTTAGCGATGCAAATCCATGTGTCTTTGGGCACATGCGGACTTTCCATCCTACCTGGCCTGACTGCCAGCCCCAGAGACTCTTTAGACATTTGAATCTGGTCCCCAGGCTTTTCTGGAACCAGGAGTCCTGGCCTCCTGGCTCCCTGTTTGACCTGAGTTCTGGTCACCCAGGAAGCATAAGGGAAGTGCTGAAGAGGCTGGTATACGTCCAGATAAGAAGGAGGGAATGCAGCCAGCCACAATGGCACAGCCCTGGACCACCCCACAATTTAGAGGCTTAAGACAACTGATGTTTGTTTGTTTGTGTTGGGGATGGAATCCAGGCCTCACACATGCCAGGCAAGTGCTCTACCACTGTGCTACACAACAGTAGTCTCTGTCTCTGTCTTTCTCTCTTTCTCTCAGATTGGATAGGGTCTTCTGGGTGATTCTAGCTGCTGAGATTTCAGAAAATGCAGGTAAATAGTAACTGGGGCTGCAGTCCATGGAAGGCTTCTCCCCACTGCGTCTGAGCGGGCTGGCTGACTGGGTCATCAGTGGATGTGGAGAGGATTTGATGTCACCTATCAGTGAGGGGAGGAGCAAAGGATCTGTGGTCATTTTTGTCCATCACTGAGCCTAGTTGCTTCCGGTTTACTCAACATCACCAAACTGGTTTCCCAAGAGCAGGTTTTCATTAGCTTCCTATAATAAGGAGTCTGACTCCATTTTTGATGTCTGATTGCTTGCAGCTTTAAAGCTTTGTCTATCCCTCTTCCCTTTTGTTCACATCTGGACAAGCTAGATCTCTCTGTGTCCGCTTCTCTCCACTCCTCCCCCAAGAGGGAGGGGGATTTAAATCTGGAAAGCTCTGGCTGCTGGTCACTTTGGAGGGATCTTCACCCTAGCCTCATCTCCTCATAATAAAAGCCCTTTATTACTCAGGTTATTCTCTGTCTCTCTCTCTCTCTCTCTTTTTTTTTTGTTTGTTTTTTATTGGCAGAACCAGGGATTGAACTCAGACCCATGCGCTTGCCAGGGAAGTGCTTATTCCACTGAACCATCTCCCTGGCCCATTTTTCTTGTTTTAGCAAATGATGAATACATAAGACAGTTGGGAAACAGCATTCATTATAGGTTGGTCTTGTAGTGAGTACAAAGCAAGACAAAAAGCTCAGGGGAATTGAATTCAAACCTATTCACAGTTCCTGGCAGATTGATGGACTCTGTGGACACTTAGATCCTGTGTGGCATGATTGGGCCGGGCAAAACTCTTTCTGCAGATGTCACAGGTATAGGGCTGCTCCCCAGTGTGCCTTCTCATGTGGCGTTTGAGCTCATCGGAACAGTTGAATCTCCACTGGCATCCCTGGGCATTGCATGCTTTGGGCTTCTTCTTTTTTTTTAATTATTTATTTATTTTTATTTATTACATTTATTTATTGTGTGTGTGTGTGTGGCCAGCTCAGCCCACCAGGGGGCGGGTCTGGCTGGCATGTGGTGCTGGGGATCGAACTGCGGTCCCTGTGCTTTGCCAAGCTTGTTTCAAGTAGGTGCTTTAGACCACTGAGCCATCTCTCCAGCCCCTGCTTTGGGCTTCTGGACAGTGCGTGTGCGCTGGTAGACCTGGAACTGAGCAGCCCTCTAGTAAGACTTCCCACAGTCCTGGTGCAGGCACACGTAGGGCTTCAAATGCTGGGACTGTTTCAGGAGTGGATAGCTGTTTGTGTGTAAGTTCCCATTTTTTTCTGGGCTTTGCTCCTGGATCAAATGGGAGCCTGGGAAGTCTAGTTGTCTTGGCTGTGCCACTCCTACAAGTTGAAAGTCCCCCACCAAGAGTCTGGCCCTTGCTGATGGTCACCATCTGGTCCCCAGTGAGCTTCTGATTATTGCAGGTGTTTGAAATCTGCTTCAATTGGAGGAGGCTCTGGTCACCAATAGGAGTTGCCATCACACCCAAACAGAAGATCTGAAGAGGCCCAAGAACTATTATCAGGCCCCTAGAGCATGTCTGATTGGCAGTGAGGGTCTGCATGGGACCCACACACGATGTGGTCATCTGGATGCCATCGAGAGTCTGTTCACACTTTAGGTCCTGCATCTGGCTATCTTCTTCAGGGACACTGCAGCAGTCACTGAATTCCTTGAGCAAATGAAGTAACAGAACCTATTCAAATATATAGGTAATTACAATGTTGCCTTAGGTTGGATACCCACAGAGTTAGAAGAAAAGTTTACAGAGGTTGTCTGCACACAGGAGACAGAAATTTTCAGTCCAATGCTTGGAATGTAGTGCAGTGTCCTTCCTGTGCAAATCGTATCAGAAGATGGTTCTATGAAGAAAGCTGCAGAGTCTGCCCACAATGACTGAAGGATCCCCATGGCGCCTGAAGAGTCTGCGCTGAAAGGTTGTTTCAAGGAAAGACTGGAGCACTTCTGAAGATGGGAAAGTGGGGCTATTCTCTTTCTATTTTATATTTTATCATTCTGGGGATTCAACTCAGAGTCTTCGCTACATCTTCATCCCATTTTTTTTTTTTATTTTTGGTTTTTTGAGACAGGGTCTCACTATGTAGTCCAGGCTGATCTTGAACTCCCTGTGTAGCCCAAGCTGTTCTCAAAGATAATAATCCTCCTGCCTCAGCCTCCTAAATTCTGGGATTACAGGTATGTAACACCACACCCAGCTTCTTTCTTTCTTTTCTTTTTTTCTGGTACCAGGGATCGAACTCAGGATCTTGCCCTTGCCAGGCAAGCACTTATTCTACTGAGCTATCTCCCTGGCCCCTCTTTTCTATTTTGATTCAAAATCTCACTAAATTGCCCAGACTGGGCTAGAACTTGTGATTCTCCTACCGTAACCTTCCATAGTATTGGAATTACATGTGTGTACCAGCATGCCTGGCTCCTCAGGTCATTTTCTTACCAGTAGGGAAACCTGCCCTGGTCCCCCTAGAAAGCTTATCACTAAACAATCAAACTCTTCTTCCTTTTTTTTTCTTCTTGCTTTTTTTTTTTGACAGGGTCTTGTTGTATAGCCCAGGTTGATGTTAAACTCATGATCCTTTAAAAAATTAAATGAATTGAAGATGCAGCTCAGGGTGAAGGCCCTGGGTTCAGATCCAAGTAGGAAGAAAAAAAAAAAAAAAAAGAAAGAAAGAAAGAAAGAAAGAAAGAAAGAAAGAAAGAGAAGAAAGAAAAAAAGCAAGCAAGCAAGTAAATAGTTGGTGCTCTTTTGGCATCACCTATGGGCTGCTCCAAGGATTGAGCAAATCCCTGGAGTGCTAGGATCACAGGTTTGTGACTAGCTTCACATTCTCCTCATGTGTGTGGATTTCATCAGTGTTCAATTTCAACTGAATTCTGGGTGGTGAGTTCACTCTACCATAGGACAACCACAAATTTTCATCTGGTCCACACCTACTAGTACTTGGCATCTTCAGACTTTTTAATATTTCAAATCTGATGGCAAGCATAGGACCTGTTATATACTGAATTGTGTTCCCTCAAAATCCTTTTAGTGGACTGGTGAGATAACTCAGTGGACTAAGTGCCTGCTTAGGCAAGCACAGGGACTGCGGTTTGATCATCTGCACCACATGCCAAGCAGGCCCCGCCCCCAGGTGCACTGAACCAGCCATGGAGACCCAGCATGGGGGCAAACGCTTATAAACCCAGTGCTGGGGAGGCTGAAAACAGGAGGATCACTCCGAGTCCGACTGCGTAATGAGACCCTGTACCAAATATTTTATTTTGTGTGTGTGTGGCCCGCTCAGCCCACCAGGGGGCGGGGCTGGCTGGCATGTGGTGCTTGGGGATTGAACCGCGGTCCCTGTGCTTTGCTTAGTTTAGCTTGTTCTAAGTAGGTGCTTTAGACCACTGAGCCATCTCACCAGCCCCCCAAATATACTTTAAAAAAATCATTTTAGATAAGCACCTGAGAATGTAACTGTATTTATTTATTTATTTATTTTATTTTATTTATTTTTTTTTTTTTTTGAGCTGGGGGTTGAACTCAGGCCCTTGCACTTGCCAGAGAAGTGCTTATCCCACTGAGCCATCTCCCCGGCCCCTGTAACTGTATTTAGACACAAGGCCTGTAAGTGGTTGTTAAGCTCAAGTGACTTCTGTCCTTTTAAGAAAAGGAAGGTGCAGGAAGAGACAGCCAGTAGTGGTCTCCTGAAGCCTAGGAGAGGGCCTGAGAGGAAGCAGACCCTGCAGGCTTGTGGACCTTGGGCTTCCAGGATCCAGGACTGTGGAAAAATAAATTTCTGTGTGAGCCACCCAGCCTATGGCATTTTATTACAGAAACCCTATCAGAGAAATACAGGCTATCCGTGCTTTAGTTTGGTTATCTTGCTCATTATTTTGTCTTAAATGAAGTTGAACAAGGTGGAATCTGCTATAATCCCTGCACTCTGGGAAACTGAGGCAGAAGGATAAGAATTTGAGCCCAGCCTAAGCAATTTATCCAGACACTTTCAAAATTTAAAAAATAAATAAACAAATGAAGATGTAGCTCAGGGTGAAGGCCCTGGGTTCAGATCCAAGTAGGAAGAAAGAAATTAAAAAAAAAAAAAAAAAAAAAAAAAAAAAAAAAAAGTAGGTCAGGGGGGAGGGCCTGGGTTTAAAACCAAAGAGGAAGAAAAAAAAAAAAAAAAAAAAAAAAAAAAAAAAAGGAAAGAAAGAAAGAAAAAGGCAAGCAAGCAAGCAGTTGGTGCTCTCTTGGCATCCCCTATGGGCTGCTCCTGGGATTGAGCAAATCGGTCGAACTCACACCCTCCCCGCCCCTGGTGGAGAGAAGCGGATTCCTCACATCCTTTTTCACCTGCCCATCCGGGTAGCAACCCTGCGCATGGGGTCCGGAGAAGCCAACACCACGGCATCTCGAGGCGGAGACATGCGCAGCTACGTGTGTGTGTGTGTGTGTGTGTGTGTGTGTGTGTGTGTGTGTGTGTGTGTGATAATCTGGCCATACACAGCTGGCCGGCGGGACCCCGCGGGGAAGGGAAGCTTTCTTCCCAAGCTTCGGCTGCCCGGAAATTCCCCGGCGCTCAGACTGCCGGTGGCCTGGGGTCCCGGGGAAAGATGGCGAGGGGGTGGAGGTGATGTAATGTGGGGGAGGGGAGGGGGCAGCACTTCCCTCGGTTCGCAGGGTCGGAAGAAATTAGTCGGGCGAAGTGGCACCTGTAATCTCAGCACTCCGGAGGCTGAGACAGGAGCATCGCTGCGAGTTCGAAGGCAGCCTGGGTTATACAGGACACCCTGTTTTAAAAAAGAAAAGAAAAGAAAAAGCTCTGCTTCAAAAGTCACAGGCGGAGCTGTCCGGGAACGTGAGTAGCGCGGAATCCGGAATAGACACTTGCGGGCAGCATGTGCTGTGGTAGGAGTAAAGTCCCTGCAACGCCCCGGCTTTGATGTGCTAGGAGGAAGGACCCTGGACCCCGGCAGGAGGCGGGGGCCATGGCCTGGCCCGCCCCCTTGCAGGCTGAACGTTCCAAGATTGGGCCACTGGCCCCGCCGCGCCCTGTCGGTTTAACCCGGTCCGTCCCACCTGGCCCTGGGGTAGCTGGAAGACAGCACCACGCCCAGGACCCCGGCCAGCCGCCTCCGCGAGCCTGCACCCTCTCAAGCCTCCTGGGACCCCCAGCCCCACCTGGCCTTGCGCGTAACTCCCGCCCACCTGCACTCCTGGCTGTCGCGCCCAGCGCCTGTCCCCTCCCTCTAACGCACTCTCTGAGTCCGGGTCCTCGCCTGTCCACCCTTCTTACCCTGCGCCAGGTCTCCCGGCCCTCTCTGGGCCACTCATCTCCTCCGCAGGTCCCCAGGGCGGCCGGCGTCAAGCCCTTTGCCCAGGCCATCGAACACCATGCAGCCGCGGACGCTCGGGCTCCTGGCGCGGCTCCTGCCGCTCCTGCCGTGTGTGGTGCGCGCCCCGGACCCATCGGCGCAGGACGTGAGCCTGGGCGTGGTGAGTGGGGCTCCTCGGGCTCCTAGGGTCTGCAGGGAGACCGAGAGAGGGTGGTCAGGCGCCTGGACTTGTGTGCCCGGTTGAGATAGCTGGCCAGATTTACATGTTCAAAGAGCTACAGAAGATGGTGTCTGGGGACGTCCCTATTGTTGAGTCTGCTGGGAGATTTGGTCTCCAGATTTGTCGGTTGTGGGAAGGAGCGCGGATAGGCAAGGCGTGGGGGCTCCAACTCCTGGGTCAAGACCAGAGACCCGCAAACTCAGCACTGGGGGTGGGGACCTTGAGGAAAGGGGAGCAGGCCGGCATCCGGGGCTGGGGGCCCTGGGCTCCGGATACTGACAGGGCGGGGCTTCCAGGATGGTGGTGGGAAAGCACAGCTCCACCCTCTACCCTTCTGCTTCAACTATACCTCCGGATGGCTTAGGACTGGCTGACCCGTTATGGCTACCTGCCACCACCTCACCCTGCCCAGGCCCAGCTGCAGAGCCCCGCGAAGCTGCGAGATGCCATTAAAGTCATGCAGAGATTTGCTGGGCTGCCTGAAACAGGTCTCATGGGTAGGTACCTGCCCTGGTTCTGCAGGCCTGCCTGTGTCACCCACCTAACGATGTTCCAGCCTCTCTAAGCTTCAGTATGCATCTGAATCACAGGAGCTATAGAATGCTGATCTTAGGTTCCAACTCCACCCTGGAGGCTCTCAGGCATCCTCCTTTCAACTGACCTTTCTCAGGAATCTTGGATACCCAGCCATTTTAGGCCCGTGGTTACAGCCATGGAAAGAGTAGGGAGGAAGTGTCCCAACAAATGCAAAGGCTCCATGGCAAGTATAAGTTTACATGCGTGCAGTGAAAGGAGAGTGAAGGTCTTAGTCAAGAGCCTGGCCAAGGGGCCTTAAAAAGTGCTGTATTTGATTTGGAGGGTGAAACAACACCAAAAGAGGTTTGAAGTCCTGACTCCCACAGAGCTAATGTGCTAGAGCAAGAGAAACATAAATATGCAGGGTGATTTCAGGTGGTGCTGTGTATGTATGTGTTTGTCTTGAGGTGAGAGGACTGAACTCAGGTCTCTTGCATGCTAGGCAAGCAATTTACTGTTAAGCAGCATTCCTGGACTAAGTGTAAAGAGAATAAAAAACTAAAGATAATGGGCAGCTGGTCTAGTTAGGACAGGGTTTTGTTGTTTGTTGTTTTTTGTGCAAGGATCAAACGCAGGACCTCATGTTTGTCAGGCAAGTGATTATGCCATTGAGCTATCTCTCCAATCCAGGATTTTTGTCTTGTTTTGTTTTGGTTTTTGGTCTTTTTGAGACAGGGTCTTGCTATGCAATTCAAGCTGGCCTTGCGCCCACTTTGTAGGCCAGGCTGGTCCCAAACTCCCAACAGTCCTCCTGCTTCGGGCCTCCCAAGTGCTAGGATTACAGATGTGCGCCACCACTCCCAGCCCAGGCAGGCCTTTCTGGAGGATGTCACATGGGATAAGACCATGAAGAGGAGCCAGCCATGGGAAAATGAGGGAGGAAGTGTCCCAGCAAATGCAAAGGCTCCCTGGCCAGTAAAATGTGCATGCAGTGAAAGGAGAACGAAGGTCTTAGGCAAGAGTCTGGCTAGCGGTGCTGCAGTTGATTCCGGTGGTGATAACAAACCATGGGAGGTTTGAAGAGGGGAAAAACTATCTGATCTACTGTGTTAAGCATCCTGTGGTTGCTGCAAGGGAGAAGGAAGTGGAAAAGGAGAAGGATGCATTGGTAGTAGTCAGGCAAGAGATGATGGTGGTTGGGCGAGGTGTGACCACAAGCAGCTAAACTGAGGATATGGGGTCAAACAGGGATGAAGAGAGTGCTTGATGGACCCTGGATTACTACCCCAAAGTTTGTTTTGTTTTTCTGTCCTGTCCATTCTGGGGACAGCTTTGAACTATCCCTAGGCATCTATATGTTCTCAGTTACTATTTGTCACCTCAACTCCAGGTGTGGTTTGACCTTAACTGGAAGATGAGTGGGAATGGAGCTCAGATGGAAAAGGGGATTCTAGGTAGACCTAACTGGAGAGGAGGTGGCTTGCCACAGGGGACCAGGGACTCCTGCTGGAGACTTTGGACTTGATTGTGTCGCGGACTCTTGGCCTGATGGGATGAAGAGTGGGCAGGTTCACAGGGAATCCCAGCTCCAAGAGGAAGGAAGCTTATTCTGCCCTTGAGGCTCCTTTCTGCTGAGTCTACCTTCCAGGGCTCAGGGAACGGGAACATGGGGCCAAGCCTGAGTCTCAGAGCACACCCCCACTTCCCCCAGCAACCAGTGCACCCAGGCCGGATAGAAAAGGCATCGTCCACTAGGGAGTCATAGTGTGGTACAAGCTGGCTTCCAGAGTCAGACAGCCTGAATTCAGATTTTGGGCAAATTCCTTAACCACTCTGAGCATTAATTTTTCCGTGTAAAACACTTGGCTAGTGGGCCTGGGATATAGCTCAGCAGGCACAGCTCGTCTCGTTCGTGCCTGGCAAGCATGAGGTCGTCAGTTTGATTCCTGATACCAAAAATAAAGCTAGCTAATACCTGATTTGGTGTCAGCACTAGGAAAGCGGACTTTCTTAGTGCTGACACCATCCTCCCATCCCATTTCCTGCAGACCCAGAGACAATTGCCACTATGCATAAACCCCGCTGCTCCCTGCCAGATGTGCTTGGTCCAGCAGGTCTTGTCAGGCGCCGCAGGCGCTATGCTCTGGGTGGCAGTGTGTGGAAGAAGCGAACTCTGACATGGAGGTAGGTTCTGATGCTTCCTGCCTGGGCCTGCTGGCTGGGCAAAGCCTCCTGGGCACCCTCTCCTCCCACAGCCTCCTGCTCCCTCTCTGCCCAGGGTCAAGTCCTTCCCCCAGAGCTCACAGCTGACCAAGGAAACCGTGCGGACCCTTATGAGCTATGCCCTGACTGCCTGGGCCGTCGAGTCAAACCTCGCATTCCACGAGGTGTCCTCCCAGCACCAGGACCCTGACATCCTCATCACCTTCTCCCGGGGCTACCACCAAGACAGTTATCCCTTCGATGGACTGGGTGGCACCTTAGCCCATGCCTTTTTCCCTGGAGAGCACCCCATCTCTGGAGATACTCACTTCGATGATGAGGAGATCTGGACATTTGGGTCAAAAGGTAAATTGTGCCATATTTGGACAGGTCCTCTCCCCAGATCTGTCTGTCCTGATGAATGAGTTTTAAAGTAATTGATCAATGAAGCCCGAATCAGTCAGGTGTCTCCAGAGAAACAGCACTAGCAAGTGTATGTGGAATGTGAGTGTGTGATGAGATTTGTCTTAAGGAATGGGTTTACAGGGGTGATGGAGTCCAGAAAGGCTAAAATTAGTAGGGCAGGTAGGAAACTCAGGCAGCTCTTTTAGTCTTAGGACATGATTCCTTCCCTCTCACTCTCTGTTTTGACTCCTACATCCTGGCCCAATTGGATGTGGCTCACTTATACTTGGGTTATGTGCTTTACCTTAGCCAAGTCTCCAAAATACCTTCCCAGCAATATCTGGACTGGTGTTTTAGCAAACCACTGGGCACCATGGCCTGGCCAAATTGATACACAAAATCAATCACAAAAAAAAAAAAAAAAAAAAAAAAAAAAAAAAAAAAAAAAAAAAAAAATCAGTCACCACTGAAGCCTATTGGTGCCTGGCTCTGAGCTGGGCTAACTCCAAGAGTCAAAACAACTTCTCTGTCCTGTAGCTAAGGAGGAAGAGTAACCCACAATTATTACACACATGGTGACACAGCTGTTGGAAATCTCAGGAGAGGAAGTACTGCAGCTTCAAGGGCTCAGAGGCGGTGTCAGCCCAAAACTTAGAGTGAAGGGAGGTGTCCTCAGAGGACGCCATGTCTCATTCACTTGGTATATACACCTTCACTGACCAGTGAACAGTACAGTCTACAGGACCCAGTCCTGTTCTTTTGGAGCACACATTGAGGGGCACAAACAATGAGAAATCACAAGCCAGTGAGCTACCCAAGTGCCAGGCCATCATGAGTGGGAAGAGTCACCAAGGGCCTGCATGCCTGTAACATTTTTGCTGGAAAGTGAAACTATGGTATTAGGAGGGAGCTCACACAGAGTGGCCCATTCCGTGTGTCAAAAGTTTTGTTTTAAAAGGACTGGCCAGGTAGCTTCGTGACCTAAAGCACCTGCTTAGGCAGAGTGCAGCGGCCGGTTCATTCCCTGGCGTGCTGTGCCAGCCCTGCTCCCAGGGTGCGCTGAGGCCACGACTGAGACTGGGCGTGATGGGCATGCCTATAATCCTCAGCATTTGGGAGGCTGAAAACAGAAAAATCACTATGAGTCAAGTCTACATAGTGAGACCCTGTAGATCCTGTACTAAGCACACACACACAAAAAAAAAGTTTTTTATTTTGCTTTTGAGACAGGTTCTTGCTGTACAGTTCAGACTGGTTTTGAAGTCACTATGCACAATTTTGTTTGTTCAATGTGGGTTATAAAGTAATGTTTTACATAGGACATGGTATGCTTTTATTGTAAGTAACATCTTAAATCTTTCTTTCTTTCTTTCTTTCTTTCTTTTTTTTTTTTTTTCTTTCTTTCTTTCTTTTTTTTTTTTGGTGGTACCTGGGATTGAACTGAGGACCTTGAGCTTGCCAGGCAAGCACTTATTCCACTGAGCTATCTCCCCAGCCCCCTGAAGTCTCTATGTAGCCTAGGCTGGCCTCACTCATGGTTATCCTCCTGCCTCAGCCTCCTGAGTGCTAGGATTGAAGACATGTACCACCATGCCTGGTATCAGAAATGATTTTGGAAAGCAAGTGCAAGGATTTGGACATAGGGTTCTGAAGGCAGTGGGAAGCTATCAGAGGGTTTTGCATTCTAAAAATATCATTGGATCCAGTGGGGGAGGTGGATAGTGTCAGGGAGGCAGAAGTTACTGTCTGGTTCAGGTAACAGACCTGGTGGGCAGTGGTGGAGGGGATGGCTGTGAGGGAAGTCAATTAGGATGGCCAAAGATTGGGATCTAGCTGGATCCTGGCAACAGGGGATGAGGAGGGTACGATGATGGCAGGGTCCAGCTCAGGACCTGGAGGGAGGTTGCTTCTGCTGCTGTGCACGAGGGGCAGAGGAGCAGGCTGACAGGTGGCCTGAAGGCAGGTTTGGATGAATGTTTGTAGGGTGCAGATGATCCACATAAATAGCACAGGCATTGACTGACTTGCTCTAGACCAGGACTCCACTGATCTAGGTCAGGTTTTCCAGAAGTGGAGCTCCAGCTGGCAATTTTTTTTTTTTTTAAATTGATACAAAGGTCTTGCTGCACAGTTCAGTCTCCTAGTGATCCTCCTATCTCAGCCTCCCTAGTGCTGGAATTACAGGCATGCACCATCATACCTGGTTCCGGGACCAGGCACTAAGGTTTCTGGTGCCAGCACAGAATGTGGAACTAGGAATCGAACTCAGGACCCTGTGCTTGTCAGGCAGGTGCTTATGCTGCTGAGCTTTGTCCCCAGCTCCAGCTGGCAACTCTTACACAAGCAATTTCTTAGGGGCACCTGCTGAAGAAGAGAGAAGGAGTATAGGCTGAAGGGCTGAGCAAGGGTGTAGTCTGTGCTAGAGAGGAGCTGGATCTCACGGCATTGCACCTTGTGGGCCAGTCATTGGCTTTGGGTTGCTAGAGGTGGAAAGGCTCAGCTGTGGCTGTAGCCAGGCCCTGTCAGGGGTGCTAGCCAGTCGCAGACCCCATCCACAACAACACAGTACATTCTACATCATTAAACAAGTGGCCTTTTATATGTTTGTTAATGAATTAATTTTTTTTTTTTGTCTTGCTGGGAACCAAACTTAAGGTCTCAGCAAACTCATGCTTTGCAAGCCCTTTTCTATTAAGTGTCAGCCCCAGTCCAAGCATGTGAGCTTTGAACCTGAATCAGGTCACTTGTAGTATGCTTGGCATGAGGCTGAGGCAGAAGGATTGCTGTGAGTTTGAGTCCAGTCTGGGCTATAGAGTGAGACCCTGTCTCAAAACAAAACAAAATGTTGCTTGTAGTTCATCCAAGCTACTGAAGCTCACTTCTCCACTGAGAAATAGAGATGAGGACAGTGCCTGTTGGCAGCAAAACCTGCAGATCAGCCAGGTAATTCACCGAGCAGAGTGGTGCTCACCCCATTGCCAGCCACTATCAGAGTTGGGCCTGGGGGCAGATTTTAGAGTAGGGGGGCTGTGGAGACGTCACTGGGAAAACCATGCAGCACGCAAAGGTCAAGTACAGCAACTTGGAGCAGCCCATAGTAAGAGGTAGGCAGAGAAGGAGGAGAAATTGACAGAGGTGGAGAATGAACAGGCTGAAAGGTGACAAAGAACAAGAGTGAAGGAGGAAGTGGTCAGCAAGGGCCAGCACAGCAAACAAGTCCAGTAAATGACACAGGCCTGAGTTTGGTCATCCAGGCACCAAGTGACTTTTCTTTTTTACAGTGGGAATTGAACTCAGGTCCTTTGCACTGAGCTATGTTCCCAACACTTTTTATTTTGAGACAGGGTCTTATTAAATCACAAAGTTGCTAAAGCTCTACCTAAACTTTTTTTAAAATTTTATTTATTTATTTATGTGTGTGTGTGTGTGTGTGTGTGTGTGTGTGGCCAGCTCAGCCCACCAGGGGGCGGGGCTGGCTGGCATGTGGTGCTGGGGGATTGAACCGCAGTCCCTGTGCTTTGTTAAGCTTGTTCTAAGTAGGTGCTTTAGACCACTGAGCCATCTCTCCAGCCCTGTACCTAAACTTTTGATCTGCTACCTCAGCCTATAATCTCAGAGTACTGGGATTATAGGTATGGACCGTCATGCCTATCACCAAGGGACCTTTATGGTGCCTACAGGCTGCATGGGTTGGGGAAGAATCTCAAACTGCAGTGGAGTTAGGCATGAGAAGGACGAGGAAGTGAAGGTTTTGATTGGAGGACAGCTGGAGGAAGTTGGCTGGTGGGGGGAGGACAGAGGGTCTAGTGGGGAGCCAGGGAAGCAGGCTAAAGGCTGGCTGAGGATGGAGAGAGTTGGGAGCTTCTGGGACATTGCAAAGAAAGCTGGGGGGAGGGTGGATGAATGAGTGGGTAGGTGGGTAGGTGACACTATCCTTGTCTTGGAGTTGCTCAGCAAAGCAAGGTCCTCACACAAAGCAGGGTAGGAGGAAATGCAGCCATCTGCCCTGGGATTGCGGGACCTTGGATTACACTGGACAACTGTCTTGATGACATAGGAAGCACACTTGTCAGCACGTGTCCCAGTGCTGAGCCAGGGGTTGGGTGACAGCTTGAAGGAGCTGTAGGCCTGGAGTGGAGGCTGAGAGGACAGTGCACAGTAGCTGGCTACCTCGCCAGCTGGCCCAGGGCAGGATGAGAGGAGGAACCATCCTCCCTTCCCCCAAGCCCCAGCGTGAGATTGCTGTGGGCTAGGCTTCGTGGTTGTCTAAGTTCCTAGCTGCACAGCTGAGGAGGGTGCAGGAAGGGGTTGCTCACCCAGAAGCCTCATTCTGGTAAAGGAGAGGCAATACAAGGAAGGAAGATGAGCGCAGAGATCAAACCCATTGAAATTACAACCTTCCTCTGACTTCTTAGAAGGATTCAGAGTACTAAGAAGATTGAGTCAGCACGGAAGTCCACGACACTTGCAGTTTGAGTAGGAACTGTCCAGGTCAGGATACACAGCTGAGAGCAGCCCTCAGTCCTAGCCCTGCCTCCCACCCTGCCTGCTCCGTGCCTCAGTTTCCCTCTCTGTAAACTGAGGATAAGAGGTGGAGGCTTGAGGTAAAGAGGCCAAGTGCTTGCTATTCCTTTCAGGACTTGCCTAATTATTTCACTCTTAGTCTCAGCTAACAGCTGTCAAAGCCCAAAGGAAACATGCTTTTCAATTCACCAGATCATTTTCAATAATCCTACTTCCAGTGTTGCTGACCCTAGTTAGAGATTTTCACAAAATAGATAAATATCTGAAAAAAAAATTAACGTCATGTGGGGGTTGCTCAACTCTGTCACTGTCTGGGTCTTTTCTATGGGTTGCAGGGGGGTTGCTCTTTTCCAGCTGGAGCCAGATGCTGACTGATGAAGATCTGGGCTATACTGGCCCAGGGTTGGGTCCCAAGGGAAGAGGCTGTTGTGGTGGGAAGAGACTGGGGGAAGGAGTGGGCGCCACTACAACAAGCTGTGGTCTGAGAGTGCTTGCTGGAGGGAGCTCAGTGTTCTGCATCAGGAGGTGTGCGGTGTGGAAGAAGGCCAGCAGGGGGGAGGGGAGGATCCCAGGGAAGGGAGAAGGCGCTACTCCAATTGGGGGAGGGGTGAGAAAGTGGAGAGGTGAATGGAGGAGGGGAGGCAAGGAGAGGAAGTGGGAGGTCCATGAGGGTGGGTTGAGGAAATAATGGGGGTCTCTGATGATAAATGAGCCAGGAGGAGAGTATGCTCCCAGGACAGGAGCTTCCTGGAGAGAACTGCATACACTCAGGGTTCCTGTCCTCCAAGTTTCTGTATGAACAATTTTCCCTTGCTAGGGGAATGACTAATTGGTGTAAGGCCACCCTTCCTCTGTCCCATCTATGGGTCACCTTAGCCTTGACCCAAGTGTAAGCACTGCCAAGCAGGGTTACCTAAATATATTTGAGTGGGGGCTGGCGAGATGGCTCAGTGGTCTAAAGCACCTACATGGAACAAGCTTGGCAAAGCACAGGGACCACGGTTGGATCCCGCAACCATATGCTAGCCAGCCTCGCCCCCTGGTGGGCTGAGCTGGCCACACACACACACACACACACACACACACACACACACACACACTAAATAAATGTTAAAAAAAGAATATTTTAAAAAATAAAAAATAAATATATTTGAGTGGGTGAAGGAATATGGGAAAGATGGTATGGCTCAAGGAAGGGTCAGGGCCAAGGAGACCCAAGTCCCCTCCCAAGAGTCTTCTGGCTCTTCCTGGTGGCCAGTAGACCTGCTCCCCAGCTTTCCTTCCTGGTACAGGATGGCCTCAGCTCTAGCCAAATGTTCCCCTCTGCAGATGGTGAGGGGACTGATCTGTTTGCTGTGGCAGTTCACGAGTTTGGCCATGTCCTGGGCCTGGGTCACTCCTCTGCACCCGATTCCATTATGAGGCCCTTCTACCAGGGCCCTGTGGCCAACCCACACAAGTACCGCCTGTCCCAGGATGACCGTGAAGGCCTGCAGCAGCTGTATGGTATGACAAGTGTGGGGCCGCCCCTGCATCAGCTCCAGAGGCTTTCCCTTGGCCTGTGCCACAGACCTGTGGAACCCATGCCTGTGTCTTTATTCCTATAGGGAAACTACCCCAGACCCCAGGTGACAAGCCCACAAGGAGACCCCTGGTTCCTTCTCCCCACCCCCCAGCCCTGCCCCCAGACAGGTGAGTCCCCACCAACTGTGCTACCCAGGGTGACCAGCTCCCCAGCCTGAGTGTCCACTGTGGTCAAGGAGGCGGAGGAGCCCCTAGCCTCTGCTCATTCACTTTCCCTCCCCAGCCCCTCCACACCAGTCCCTGATAGATGTGAGGGCAATTTTGATGCCATTGCCAACATCCGGGGTGAAACTTTCTTCTTCAAAGGTGAGTGGCTCTAGATGACCTCTGATCTCCAATATTTGGCTTCCTACCCATTTGTGGTGACTCTTCCCCTGACATGGTAGGAGGTTTTCTGAGAAGTGAGACTTTGGGTGTTAAAAAAAGGAAAATCTCAGGTAAGCCACTGAGGACAGGTCACCCTGGATCCATGTGTTCTGGATTTCCAGGAGGACCACTCACATACCAATCCCTGTGGATGAGCTCAGGAGTTGGCCCACCCCCAGGCACTCTGTGGGACAGGACCTCCTGCCGCGCCATGGCAGTGCCCTCTCCTTCACCTGCAGGGCCCTGGTTTTGGCGCGTCCAACCCTCAGGACAGCTGGTGTCCAGTCGTCCTGCCAGGCTGCACCGCTTCTGGGAGGGGCTGCCCACCTCCGTGAAGGTCATCCAGGCTGCCTATGCCCGCCACCGAGACGGCCGAATCCTCCTCTTCAGCGGTGAGCGAGGGTTGTAGGGCGCCAGGGAGCCGCAGGCAAGCGGGGACCCGCGCTGACCACTCGCTGCCCCTCCAGGCCCCTGGTTCTGGGTGTTCCGCGACCGGCAAGTGGAGGGCGCGGCACAGCCGCTTGAGAAGCTGGGGCTGCCCGCGGGCGAGGAGGTGGACGCAGTGTTCTCTTGGCCACTTAACGGGAAGACCTACCTGATCCGGGGTCACCAGTACTGGCGTTACGACGAGGCCGCCGAGCGCCCCGACCCTGGCTACCCCCGCGACCTGAGCCTCTGGGAAGGGGCGCCACCTGCCCCGGACGACGTCACCGTCAGCAATGCAGGTGGGGAACGCAGAGCTAGAGGTCGCTGGCGCTTCTGAGGTTGGGGTTTGGATCGTGGGTTAAGAGTGGAGTGGGGATGGCAGAGGGCCTGGGAGGAGGAGGGCACGATCCGGACGGGTCTGGACCAAGCTCCTGAAGTGTGACCTACCCGCCAACAGGTGACACCTACTTCTTCAAGGGCGTCTACTACTGGCGCTTTCCCAAAGGCAGCGTCAAGACCGACCCGGATTCCCCCCAGCCCATGGGGCCTGAGTGGTTGGACTGCCCTGCCCCAAGTTCTGGTCCTCAAGGTCCCATGTACCCCAAAGCGACCCCCAAGTCCGGAACCTGCGATTGTCAGTGCGAGATCAATCTGGCCCCAAAGTGGCGGCCCGAGCCCCTCCTGCTGCCCCTCCTGCTCCTGCTGGTCAGAGGGGTCTCCTGCTGCTGAGGGAGAGAGACATCGGAGCCAAGCAGCCCCCCTGCCAAGGGGGCCTGAGTCTCCACTACGGGACCAACGTGGGATTGTGAACCCCTGCCGCGCCCCAGGGTGCGTTCCTACGGCCCGGCTCCCCCGGCACCGAGTTGGGTGGAGTCCTTGGGGTGGGGAAGGGATGCAGCCTAGACCTGACCGTCCACCCACCTGGCCTGCGCGCGCCCTCTTGGTTGCCCCAAGGACACCTGCAGGCTGGAGCCGGTCACCAGGGGGCGCACAGTAGTCCGCACTGCCCCTCACTGTCCGCCCCTTAGGCCGCCAGGGGGCGGTGCGGACCCTCCCCCTCAAGCCCAAAAGGAACGGGAATCCCGGAGTTTGGCTAGGGAGCGCGGGCGAGGGCTCCCGCAGAGCTGGGGTATTGGATGCAGGACGTCCCCTTGGCGGTTCACGGGAAGGGGACTGTTCGCAGCTGCGACAACACCGCAGGACTCTCCTTTTCTCGGAACAGCCGGGCTCTCTAAGAAGTCTGTGGACTTTCCCCAGCTTCCCATTCACCCTATGGGGACTTTGCCTAGCGTCTGATCAGGCCCTTAGCAGACAGATCAGATCAGGACCTTTAGTTGCAGCCCCTCCTCTCCTGTTTCGCATCTTAATCCTACATGGTCGAATTGGGCGTGGCGGCACAAACCTGTAATCCCAGCATTCTGGGAAGCTGAGGCAGGAGGAACTTTGCAAGTTTAATATCACCCTGGGCTCAATGTGAGCACAAGGCCAGCTGTAACTGCATACCGAGACCCTGTCTCAAAACAAAAACAAAAGAGCCAAAGAAAAAAACCCACTTGGTCCTCTTCTCCTCTTCTGTTCCTGCTACACCCCACTACTGTAAGCGCCACATGGTGGGATTCCAAAGCAAGACAAGACCTCCCCTAGGGCCATTGTCTTATGTCCTGGATCACCAGTGAGCATACAGACCACCACCCTTCCCACCTCTGGCCCGCTTGACCCCTTTCCCAGTCACCCTCACCCCCAGGACACACAGCATGGACACCACCCAAAGCCCAGCAGTCTTCTAAAGTGAACATCCTCTCTGTGCCCCTTGCATAGAGATGAAGCTGGGAATCTTGACTGGGCTATGTGCCCTGCTGGCCAAGGGAGCTGGCTGTCTCGTGGCTTGTTGTGTGCCTCCCAGGAACCAGTCTCTTCCTGTATTCTCTACAGGGCCAGGATGATGGCCATGGTAGAGAGGTGTCCATTCCCCTCAGGGTTCAGTCACTTAAAGGGCCACTTTGTGGTTTCTTCCTAGCCCCACTGGGCCTGTAGTGCTTTGGGGATCCCAGACTGCGGACAGCACTTCAAGACATCAGGATTTGGTACCACTTGTTCCTGACCCCCAGGTCAGCATAAGAACAGAGTCAGGCTGAGGAGATAGCGCAGGAGAATAAGCACTTGCCTGACAAGTGCAAGGTCCTGAGTTCAATCCCTGGTACCGCAAAAAACAAAAAACAAACAAAAAAACAAGAGTCAGGCCTCCTCAACTAGTTTATGACCTGATGAATCTAAGCCACTTGGGAGCCATTTGACTCTTTACTGGATTCCTTTCTAAATAAGAGAGAGAACAGGGGCCAGGGAGATGGCTCAGTGGAATAAGCACTTCCCTGGCAAGCACAAGGGCCTTAGTTCAATCCCCAGTTCCACCAAAAAAAAAAAAAAAAAAAAAAAAGAGAAAAAAAACCAGCCCTACACTGGGCGGAGAATAAAATTATGAAAAGCTCTTCATTTTTTTTGAGCACTGATGGTCCTGGGTGAAGTTTGGCGTCAGTAACTGGACAGGCAAGAATTTTCTGCTTTGCAGAAGTTGGAATGGATCCAGGGTTGTTTGAGACAGAGATATTGAAGTAGAAAGAGGAGGAGGAAGCAGAGCAAGGAACCAAAAGTTGATTGAGGAAGCCCAGAATAAAGAGGAGAAATCAAGATGTTTTCACGGCTATGTGTAAACTCATCATTAGTACTTTTTGACTACTACACAAAACAGATCAAAGTGATTACTTTTTTCAAAATGGTACAGTAAAAAATGGTACAATCCCATAACCAAATTAAAATCTTTTGTGTTTCAAAAGACCATCAGGGAGGCCTGGCCCTAGCTCAGGCCTTTAAGTGGCTGCTTCCACAAAGCTGTCAGCCTCAGGTTGCTGGAGTTCGAACCTCACACCTC